AGAGAAGTTAAAATAATTTTTTTAAGTAATGAAATTTCTGATTAGGGTTCCCAGTTGATCTTCCTGTACTGCTACATGATTAGCTTAGTTGTTGATGAACAGGTGCTTCCTTGGGGAGATTCTTGTATGTATGTACTTTTATGTATGATTCTTTATGTATGTACATTTTTGCTCATGTGGCAGATTGATTCCTTTTTCCTCTTAGCATAGTATGCCATAGTTTCCTGTAGTAGAARGAGGGCAGTTCTGGAGCACAGGCAGTATAACTCAAAGGAAGCAGCCAAAAGGATGGTGTGATTTGGGGAAACATTTGAGAAATGGCAAGTCCTTATATTTTTGAAACCAAATGCATTTGATGAAGTCACAGGAGATACAATGGATTTTCATGAATATGCACTGGGGAATGTAATTGTCAGTAGGTAGAACAGAAAGAACACAGTGATGTGGCTAATTTTGGAGATGTGAACTGTAAATATACTTTTTAATTAGTATTATTTTAAAATTTAAAAAGTGGTAGTTAGATCAGTTTGTTGTTTGTTGAAATTCCAAAWTTTCAAGAGGTTTTTTAAAGACTTTTTTTTTACCACAACTTTGCAAAAAATTGATTTCTTAATGAAAACTTCTGATGCTAGGCCACAGAGCACAGCTGCCAGTAGAGTATGCACTACAGAGGATATTGTGTGGATAAGTTTCTGGCCCTATAAATGTCCCTCCTATTTACAGAAGTTGAGTCCTCATTATGTCAATAAGAAGAGAGATGTGGCATGTTTGAGGTTGACCCAATTTAAACATACSTCATCATCAGAAAGGGTTTTTCCTCTGACGGGTGACCATGTTTGCCATCTCTGTTATTCTACAACTCTCCGAATCTAGTCCTTGCTTCCTCACCTGGATGCCCTATTAGTATAATTTTGGGGAATTTTGCTCCCTTATTTTTCTACCAAGCTCTCTTTCGAGCTATGAGCAGCTTGAGTTCAAAACAAGACTACCAGATGTCTGTTTCTCCTTCCCCACATTATTCTTCTCATGGATTCCGTTGTAGTGAGAGATCATTATTAGAATACTAGTATCAGACAAGCCAGTCTGAGGATTTTTTTGTCAGTGTTTGTTTTTAATTTTACTGTTTTTAATTTTAACTGTTACTGCTTTTTTTTTGCCTTATACCCAAGACAGTCTTGCCTGTTCCTTCAGAAAAACAAAATTCTCATTTGTTTGCTATCATCTTGTATCTCAAGACCCACCTCCCATTTTCCCTGCTTCTTCCAATTCAGTTTTTACTTTCAACAGGCTGCTTTTTTACATAGTGCATGATGCCAACCRACTACTTAGGAAAGTGCTACTCAGTGTTCATGGCCTGTGTCCACCTTGTGCATCTTGTTCATTGTAACCTGTTGAACTGTCTTTAATTGGACAAAGATGGGATTCTTAGTACCCCATCTGCTGTACTTTAAAATAAAGCTTTTGGGTTTTCTGTTTTGCTGCTGTGTATGCTGCAGGAAAGGTGGGGCTATCATATAATCTTCTCTAACAAAAGAGAGATAAAGGCCTTGCTTGATAGAGGAATTTCACACAAAGGCAGGAAAACAAAGTAATAAATAGCAATATGCTGTTAACARTCTATTTCAGGTAAGATTTTTAGATTAAGATTATAGTTCTTATTTTCATCATTGAAAGTTGCAAATAATATGTGCATTTTCTCATATGTCCTATTTATCAATTCAGTTTTATGACTTCATTTTTTCTTACTACTTTGCATTTTCATATAGGCCGTTTTTTAGTACCTAAAAACAGGTACAGAGTAAAATATTTTTCTCGTAGTTTAACTGCTMTTCTCTCACAGCTGTACTTTTTCCAAGAGATCTCATCTCTTGCACAGAGCCTAATTCTAAGGTTGCCACCAGTTCTGGCTTGCTATGTCTGCATGCAGTTCTGCAGACCAGAATTGAGCTCCCTACACCGCTCAATGTGAGTTGTACCAGACCATCACTACAAAGCAGGATGGAGGCTGGCGCAATAAATTGTTCAAGGTACATCCCACATGGATATTGAGACAATGTTGTAACTTAAGCTGTTTCATCATAGTAGTGTCACTCTGCTTTTTCCTTCCTTTCTTGAGTATCACTCTGTTGTGTCTSTAGTTAGGCTGTTGGTCAGAGGATGGTCTGGTTTAGGTTGACAGCTGAAGTCAACATTGACAAACTGAACAARAGATCCATAAATAAAACTCAGTGCCAGTTGCCTCTCATTTGTACCATGATGTAGACATTACTGCCAGTTTGGTCTTTWGTGTACAGAAAATCATAAAGCTGCCACTTTCTTATGGACCGTGTGTGTCTAAATGGGAATTCCTGAATTCCTCTAAATGTGGAATTGAAAATTTAAACTCCAAATACATGGCTTTAATGGAGTATACAGCTATATAGTATACAGTGTACAGTATACAGTGTTCATTAATTCCATGAGATGAGTCAAGYAACCCAGTGAGGAGGAGAGGAGGCTAACAGTTCAGTAAGTAAGGATTTTTACCCAAGCAAGCAATCACCTGTTGCCAGTCACAGGTCTCTTGTGTTGCCTGAATGAACWGCAGGATGGCTGCTGACACAGGCATGACAGAAGAAGGAGACTTGAAGAAAGCTCTGGCAGAGCATTGAAGAGTCTGTGAGTTAAAGCCTTCAGTGGTCTGAGTGAAGGTGAAATGTGTAGTTTAATAGGATGGAAATACATGGCATTAATTTGGATCAATAAAGAACTGTTTTTTTTGTGAAAAGGAGTGGGAAGATGTGAAGAAATGAAGAAGATTGCTGGAGAAGTATTTTGCTGTTGTTGAAGAAAATAGAAAAGTGTAACTAATATATAAGCTGGTCGTCTTYGTTACTAATTCACCTTACACTTGCTTTTCCAGAAAAGCTTCTTTCTTCTTTAAGACCAAAACAAGCTCTTTTACTTTACTTTTTACTTTCGTGTTCTAAAAATGAAAGGTCTTCAAAGTCAAGCAGCTTTTCTCCTGACTTAACAATGTAGGGATTTCTGTTGTTTTTTAAACCCATGGACACCAAATGCAGAAGGAAGATGTAAACTATTTGAGAATATATTATTTGCATGGTAATGGAGGCTATTTTCTTGGTACAAGGAAGAAAGATAAACTTTTAGCTGCATAAATACTACATATCTGTTGAGAAGGCTGAGGCAACTAGACTTTTTGTTGATCTATGTGGTGATATTTTCATACTTCCACTCTTTTTATTCAATATTCTCCTTGTAAATTAGAACAGAACTGTTAAACTGTTTTCTAGTATTTGTTCATCTGAACAGCCTGTATCTCATTCAGTCAGGTGTGCAAATAAGGATTTATAGAAGACAAGAGCCRTGATATCTCTTTCTTGATTGCCTGGCATTGGTGTAGATTAGTGTGGAGTGCTTCCATTTGACAGGGCAGCCTTTTCTCTCACCATGGCCAACATTAGAGCTGGATCTGTTGTTGAGGTGATTTTGTAYCCAGGGAGGTACCTTTTGTACCAAGGGAGCTCACTGAAGATCTTTGGAGAGAAACAGTTAATGCGACAGGAGGGAATTTCTGGTAACCATTGCTTGAAAGACTTCTCATAAGTTTACGTAAAAATGATTTTGATATTTKGCTATGAACAACATTTTAAACCTGTGTTATGTGTACATTGATGTAAGAGATTTCTTGCCAAATCCACTGTTTTCAGTAAGTTAAAAGGAAAGATGAGATTTAAGATGTGCATGACAACAAACAGCACCCACARCTTTCTGTATATCATTAAAGGAATTTTTTGTTGTTTACACTGTTTCCTAACTTTTTCRATACAAGAAATGTCTTGGATTTTTTCCTGTGTTAAAAATCAATTGATTTAAATTTTGGTAATGTTAAAATAACATTATTGCTCATGCATATCTTTAATGTTACAGGMTCAATATGCAAATACTCTGTAAACTGATTGAGGAAGAAGTAATAAACTTTTTAATTGTTAATATTTTTATTTTAAAAATACTGACTTTTTGGGGGGAGCAGGATTTTTTTTTTAGGTGATGCTGCTTATCTGATAATTTTAATCCTGGTTGAATTATGTTGCCAGATTGTCATCAGAAGGGCATGAAGTCAGCACACATGCGTCAGTAATATCTGGTTGTTTTAACCTTATGTTTCCAGTTGGCAATTTGAAATTATGGCTTCAACTGCACTTTAAATATGTGATAATAGCATGTGTTTCTAATAAGGGCCAGCACCATTTTGTTCAGATACTGTGAATGGTTGTCACTCATATATGACAAATGCACCTTCATCTGCTTCTTTGATGGCCCTGTAAAAACCATACCCTCAAATCAGGCCGATGAAATTAGCTGCTGTGTAAATTGTGTGTCTGAGTGGTTCATTATCTAATCACCGTCAGAACCACAGTGATAAAGTAGATTGAAACAGGGATGAGGTCCGCCAGATGATTTCAGGCCTTTTTTTCYAAGCTCTGTTTCCCTTGGAAACACTAAGAGTAATTCAGAACTTTGGAATTCTTTGTCTAGAACTTCTTYCTTTAATGCGCAAAATTGGTCAGCCAGTGAGGTCTGCCAAGGTGATTTGTAAGGTTTTCTTTCCATGATTCTTGTACATTACTGTGTATATTAAAATGTTCTGTGATCAATTTAGCTACTATGTTTGCTACTTCTAGGTTAGATATTGTTAAACACACTAACTGTATCGGGAAACTGCTCTAGCCTATTCTTYTGTAGGAGAAAACTCTTAAATGCTTTCAATGGCAAAGTGCTATGCTCTGTATGTACAGAGCTTTGGATTCTGGAGCTGATAGGTAAATTAACATACTAAACCAATAAGATACAAAGCATTGCACATGACATTTGTACATGGGTGGTACAACTATGTGACTTTCCAGTTTCAAACTCTTTTGACTCATTATAGTATGTTCCAAATATATGTTTATTGTCTTTCTAGCTTAATAGGTAATACAGGTGTTCTTCTGTTTTAGGAGCATTTGAAGATGATGATATCACTCAYGTTGAAGGAAGTGTAGATCCTGTTCGTGACATTGAAATAATACAYGAAGAACTTAGACTTAAAGATGAAGAGCTGATCATGCAGAGCATAGATAAGCTTGAAAAAGTAGCTGTAAGAGGAGGAGACAAGAAATTGAAACCTGAATATGTAAGTACATGATCTATAAAAGTAAATCATTAAGTACTCTCATCATTGAATTGAAATGCTTGTATTATTGAGTTTTTTTATTGATCCCACATGTGTTACAAAATGCTACTATTTTAATATATATTTTAAAGTAATTGTTATTGAGTTGAAAAAATACTAGAATGACTAGCTGTGTTGTCAGTGCAAGGTTTTATAGATGTAGCTAATTGTAACTTTTGAAATTTAACTGTTGTTTTCTTCCTGACACGGCTTTGTAAGAGAACTGCCAATCCTTTGTCAAGCTTTACATCAGTGTGTAGTTGTAATTCAAAGGTCAGCAGTTGCTTCTGACTTATTCCTGCTGTTAAGTTCTACTGTGATGTTGACACTAGTAGTCCTGTAGCCAGCAAGTGAATGTTTTTTTTGGTGTGATTGCACTTGTCTTTTAGTGCATGTTAAATAAAGACCGCTAGTTGAAAGTAATTTTAGAATGTTATTGTGGAAAGCTGATTAAATGAGCTCAATTATCACAGGGTAGTAGTCGTGTTTCTTTGTAAATTAGCAAAGTATAATAATGATCAACTTCAAAGTATATTTTTTGGAAATTCTAATTTGACTGCCACTTGTCTTTTGAGTCCCACATTTTGGCAGTAGTCTAGTTACTCATTGTTCTTGATGTTATTAATATTCTATAAATAGCTCAGGTGATATATAAAATTTATTCTCTAATTATTACAGCAGTTCATTAGAGTGGAAATAGATTCTTTATACCTAGCAAGTAAGTAGCAAAAAAGTACTGTTTTCTGAGATGGATTTTTCAATAGCAGGTAGTAAGAAAAACCTCATTATATTGGTGCTGGTAGGTTAATTCATCAGATTATTCTCAAATAAGGGAGACTGTAAATAAAAACCTCAAATGTAGAAATGCATTTTAAATTGATTAAGGAAAAAATTCAAATCTTTATTATTAACCTGTCTTTAACCAGCTTCAGTTTCTCACCCATTTCTTTGCCTGTTCCTTCAGTCTCCTTATTGTTACTTCATCTGTAGTTCACCTATCAAAATGACTTTGTCACCTTTTATTTGTAACTTATACTTCCTGTCATTTGTTGGGTTTTTTAATCCTGGTTTTATGAACACACAGAGAAAACATCAGGTTCTTGAAGTCATGTTGCTCTGCCAGTTCTGTTCTCAGTAATAGCTGTTACACATGACCAATCTCAGCTGAGTTTGTCAACAACAAWAGAGGTTTCAAAGGCATGAAATTCCTTTGTTTTGTGGGAAGGGGTGGCTGAACAGAATGGGGAGGCACAAATTAATGCTTCCTTGAGACTGCACATAATAGCTATGTCACTAGGGAACCTCTTCAGGGAAGTGTTAGGGTGCATAATGCCTGTGAGTACTGCTGATCTTGGACCTTCTTGCTTGTCTTCCCTTGTGACATGTATGCTTGAATTTTAAGGTATAACTAGACTTTGTAAAATGAACTTTTTTAATGGTGAAGGCCTGTGAAAGCTCTTTTCTTTTCCTGGTAAATCAATCCTTAGGTCCAGTTACATAGTTTCTACAAACAGATTTGTGTAGCTGGAAGACTGTAAGAACAGCTCTTGGGGCATTTTTAGCCACTACAGGACTTATTTAGATGTTCATTGGCTGGGTTGTGAGGCACCCCGGAATAGTTGGCCTTGCCTCTTTTCCTTTCATGTTTTGTGTTGCAGAGAAGGCTCTTGCCTGTRTTCTATATTATTTAGTGTAGTAKRGTATAGCATAGTATAATACAGTATAGTGGGATTGACTACACAGTAAATGACTTACAGGCCTAGGAGGAAAACTGTATGGGATTGTGAAAAAAGCATTTAAAAGTATCCTTTCTGAAGTGGTAGCCAAATGTTAGGAGTGTATTTTGGCTTTTGGATCATTCTGAACTTGCCATATCCATTGCATTTTGCATTTAGTTTGTCTGCCACAGAGAGGGCTCCCTGTCCAGCACAGTTTGTAATGTTTCCATGCAGCCTGCTGCTACTGTTCAACACTTCCTCTTTCCAGGGGAAAAAAAAAATCATTAAGAGACAGTATGGCCGGAAATTAATACTTTTTCCAAACAGGTTGTCTTCGAAAAAAGGGGGGATGGTACTGGGAGAGAACTTCTCAGGATGTGCCTTTTAAAATTATTTGCCAGTATAATACATAGCCATTGCTAATATTGTGTTCCTAGCAATATTCTTCTTCTGTGGCTGAGATGTGGAACAAAAATAGCTCTTGTCTGTGCACCAAGTGTTCCCAGTCATTTTGCCTTTCAGGAAAACTAAGAGGTTACAAGTGAAAAAGTTTGGTATTCATAGATTGTTTTGGTTTTGTTTTTTAAGCAAATGTCAAAATTTCATTGTCTCTCTTTTTTTTATTGTTTTCTTTCCCCCATTCTTTTGGTGAAGACACTTGAGAATGTCTTACATGGTTCAGCTGGTTGAGRGTTATAGGAGTCACTTGTCTTGTTCCGTAAATATGAATTGTCTGCTTTAGGGGATTCTCTTTATCAGTAAGCCACCACAATTATAACTTGATGGTCTGAAATCTCCAAAAGGTTTAGCAGGAGAAAAATAGAAAATTTACAGTGTGTATCAGCTGACAGTACTTAAATCTGAGATTTGTATTTGATTGTCTGCCTTCTGGCATGGTGTTATAACTTGTTAATTATYGTTTTCCCTCTGCCTAAGCCCACGTTGCGTACAGGTGGTAAATTCACCTTTGTGCAGTAACCTGGCTTTGCAGTTGCATAGTGTTAACTGTCCTGTCTCTCAGAGAATTGATTTCTCAATCCCCTGTCAGCAGAAATGAAATAGCTGACTCTTGTTAAGGAGCTGTCAATGAAATAATTTTCAAGTTCTACTTAAAAATCAGTGGCACAGTATGGTCCAGTATCACCAACATGTAATGTTTACATAGACTTGGAATAGCTTCCTTTGCATATGTGTTGTCTGTTTTGCAAGTATTCCCACTGCTTTCTCAGAAATGACTGTCTGCCATCCCTAAGGGTAATAGTCTTTCAGACCTGGTATACCTTTAAATATTGTTTTGGCTATAACCTTCTAGAGAGATACTTCAGAATAAAAATACTCCTGTTATTTTCATGTATTAAAACAGTGCAAATATAATTCCAGAAAGCAATCTGAGTAATTTTGATTTTATATTTTGAATCCGTCTGGTGCTTGTATATGCAGAGACATGTGATAGATATTAAGTTAAACTTTATTATTAGCTTATTATTCATCTGTCATTTGGATAGCAGGGGATTTCAAAGTAAAAGGCAAATATGATTTTATAGATCAAAATGTACAAATGATAAAATCTATTAAAAAATYGATGGGATTTTTCAGTCCTGGAGACGAAAGTCTTCAAGTTAACTCTGTCTAATACAATTAAGTGAACTTTATTGTAGGATTCTCTTCCTACAAACAGCGTAATTCAGTTCTAGTCCTTAGAAACTGATTCTCTGCAACAGATAGCTGTTTCTTCAGCACTTTGTTGGTGCACAAAATCTTGAATTCCAGCACGCAAGGATTCTTATGGTAATGGTATTGAGATTAACATATCTGACCATGAGAGTAGATTATTGATGTTAGTGATATGAAGACAAAATCTTTAGGTCAGAATCAATGTGCACAGTGTTTGAACTTCCAGTTTCCAGTTGAAAAGTGGCTTTTACAGTAGCTCATGATCAGCGCTCACTGCATTTGAACTTCCAGTGTTCAGTTGAATAGGACGCTTTCACAAGTGCAGCAAGATACATGAATTCCATTGTAAAGCCTGTTTTAAATTAGTTTAAAAATAAGATTAGTTTATCAAATTAAGCACATTTCCTAAGAAGAAAAGCAATTGCAGTTATGAAAAGAGCAGTTAGAGACTCCTTTTTTGTGTAATGGTGGCAGAACCATCTAGTGCATATTTGACTTAAAAGAACATCAAGCTTTGTTTTGTTACTGCGATGGGCAGTGAGCTAATAATGCATACCTACACTCTGCCTATGGTCATTGTATTTGTCAGCATATATGTACTTGGAAGAGTAAAGCAAAATCTTCCTAATGATGGTTAAAGTAGCTTTAATCCCTTCCATTTTCTTCCCTTACATTTCTTGTCGTGGTCCTGTCCTGAGAATACAGTAACTGTTTGAAACGTGTTCTTTTGTTCATTATTTGTTATTAAAATCACTGATGTGGTATGGCAGATACTTCACATACGTTAAAGAGCTGGTAGATTCAGTTCTTCCTATTACCAATATATACTAGATGAAAACCTTTCTTTCTTGCAATATTCTGATGAATGCGATGGTGCCATGCAGAATTTGCTGACCTCTTGCTGTTAAGTGCTTGCCAGAGTTCTCACGGATGGATGAACTTTTATTTCCTCTAACTGATGATGTCAGTTGGGAATGTTCACCTTTCTTTCAATCCAAGATGAAGATAAATACAGTGATGAATTGTATAATTTTTTTTGCCCATTTCTTTGGTTTGCTTCTGCGAGGAGAGTTTGRGAGGCCAGTTTGTTCCATGGGAGATGGAAAGAAAGGAGCAGTGTACATGTACACTGTTGACATACTCTCTGCTGATGGCTTTTACAATTGCTAACTTAAATCATAGCGAATCGAGAAAATATTTATATTCTTAATGCATATAATTATGCCTAAAATCTTGAGTGGACCATTTACTGTGCTTAATGTGGTATTTAGAGAAAATTAAAGTTCATTCTGGAGAACATTTTGAATGTAGCATGGCAGATGTTTGTGAATTAATTGGTAGCGAAGCCTGACTTAAAAGTACATAATGTGTAAACACAYATTGGGATTCTTTTGGTATTATCAGTAGACAAAGAAAAGGCAGTGCTTAAATACTTTCTATCAAGGCCGATCTTTTCTGTGTGCATTTAACAAGTGGTTTAAAGTAATTAGTTTTGTAAATGTCTTTCTGGGTTTGTCTTGATCCAAGCCATTTTAAGTTGTATGTGCATACGCTAAAATGACACTATAT